GCCTTGTAATATGTGAAAGTGCCAGTGATGTGTGTGAAAGCTGTGTAGAGCAAAGCTCAGCCTAGAAGTGATTTCCTTCTTTTGAAATCATAAGTAATAGCAATCCTTCAGAATGGCAGACAACGTCTTTGCAAATAAAACATTGTATTTTCACTTTCTTTTGTGCCATTTGCTTTTTTTTTCCCCACCTGAGGAATTTCAACTTAATTTAAGCAATTCCTTGAATCACAGATGAAGATTCCTCTTTTGAAAGGGTAGACTAATATTAATAAAGGAAGTCACAGTCCAAATTTCTTGGCAGTGTGCCCCAAACAGTGATTTTAGTTCAAGATGGCATGCTCAAATAAGGTATACTTTTTTTTGCTAAAACCCCTTTCTTCTGATGTTTCTCTATAACGTCATGGCTCTCACGTGGCGGGCACCTGAATAACTTTTAACTTTTATAGATAGCTCAGGGAACACTGCTAGGAACTAAAACCTGTTGAGCACAGCTCTTACCGTCGATGCGTGTGTGAACTTTCTCCATGTGCGAAGGTACAGCCACGCCAAAGACATGTTCTTTATGAGAATGAGAGATGAACCAGACAGTCATTTCCTCCCCTCCATGACTTTGGCAAGGCAAATCATAGCTGTAACATTTTCTTCCTTTTTGATTTCTAATCTTACCCAAGCACTAAAAGTAGTGATCAATCATCATCTAGCCAATGAAAGTGATGAAGATTAAAAAGCATTTGAAAGCTAAACTTCTTGGGCAATCCTAGAGAATCCCTACACATCTGTCTGAAGCACAGGCGGTATAAAAAACTGTAGTTCCTTCTCCAACAGCTTGCACAGTATAATGCAAACATCAAACTGTACTTAAAATACTAGTAGATCAGAATAGCAGAAGCAAGCACATTCCTTCACGTCATTGGTTCTGGAGAAAGGTTATTAAAATTTATTGAGTATTGTGATTTGGGGTCTGTTTGTTTTTGCAAGCACTTAGTCTTTGCTATTGCAATTGAAAAGCAGGAAAATATGATCCCAAAGTGGCCCAAAAACTCAAAACCAAGCACACAACAGAGGAACAGAAAATTACAGTTCTTTTCTTTCTCATGATTCCAAGGTCCCACCTTATAATAGGCTAGAAATTGTATTACAGTGAAGAGATATATGTTAGGTGTGCATATACATAGCACAGGTTAGACTACACTTTTATAATGCAGCTGTTATTAAGCTAGGTCAACCTTCCTCGGGTAGCAACGGCATGTGAAACAAGGGCAGATGTTTTCCGACAGCTTCCAGTTGAGAGCCAGGGATTTCCAGGGGGGTATGAAAGCAGAGTGAAAGGGAATCTGGTGAGAGGGTAGGGATTTAGGTCTTTGGGTAAAAAGGTCTTTGCAAAATTTGACCCTATGATCCCTTTGACCCTTCCAGAACCTCAGAGGTATAAGAAATAAAAATGTTGTTGGGTTGCTTTCTAGACAGGATCTAAGATGCTCCCCTCAACACTGAATGAAATAGCTCTAATGCATTAAATTTCAGATTAGACTGCAAATCCCAAAGGGCAAAGGAAGGTCTCCTATTTTATTCAGTGAGGAAAACTTTAGTTATGTTGATTTTATTTAAATTATTCTGTGGTTTGAGAGTAAGAGCTATTACTTTATACTTCATGTGATTTTGACAATGTCCTCTAAAACCTTAAAAACTATGCATCCCTGATTTGCATTCAGTGCAGTCAGTTGCAAATAAACCTACTTCAGGAAACATGATTCCTCAGAAAATAAACCCCACCATGGCTCGTGCTGCTGATTTCTTTAACTTAGCATTTTCAAAACAGTGAAATGTCTCTCTTAGCTCTTACTGGTTCCACTGGAACCAGTGCTAGTGACTGCTTCTGTTCCCATGTGTTTCAGGTAGAAGCACTACTACATGGTAACCATATACTCAAATAATTTGTTGAATTGTGGATAAAGTTAAATCTGTGGTTGGGTTTCATTGCTTTGCAAGACTGAGTCCCTGTAAACAAACAAACAAACACAAAATTGTAGCAAAAGTATTTAATTCTCTCTAGTTTATTTTGGCCTCGGTAAGAGTAGTAAATGGTAACCTTCTAGGGATACTACCCTCTGTGGCAGCAAAATAATTCTCCTTTGCTAAGGGCATCTTAGGAAACAAACTGTTTTAAAACTACCTGCTCACAGAAAAACAGATATATTTTTCTCAGCTGAATCTAAGAAAAAATAGTTTGAATTATATAGCCCTGATGAGGCCTAGAAGGAAAATTACAAAAAATAATGTGCAAAACCAGAAACTAAACCTCCCTTTTAATACTGAAAAACAACAAAAAAAAGGGACATTGAAAAAAAAAAAGAGCAAGAATTTTGAGAGATTATGGAAAAGAAGATGAATCCCCAGATTACAACCATCCTTCTCATCCTCACATGTAACCACACTTTCTACCAATCACATATTTCACCTTTTCAGGAACCATAAAGCATAGATCCAACAGCCTCTGCAGCGCTGAGAAGTGTTACCTTTATAGGTAATAGGTACAGTTTTCAGGTCAAATATGCATTTTTCAGGTTCAAACAGTCACTTAAAGGTTGTAAAATTTCTACCACCAACTGCATATGGCAATCAAACACACACTTGAGAATTTGAATCAACATGTGCATCTAGGTTTGTATTTGAACATGAGATCATGATCAGATGTCATTGTTTGAAGCGAACAGATGCAGGCAGTAAAATTCTACCAGTTTACTCATACTTGTGCAGATGCAATTGTGTTCTGCTGAAATAAAAGCAAGGAAGTACAACAGAAATAACATTTTGGCATGGAAGAAGCTTACATAAACAGTATTTTGGGGGCACATCTACGAAGTCTCTAACAGATAACTATGTGACAGCTATACCTATACTCTAAGGAAAGCAACACACACAGAATCATAGAGTGGTTGAGGTTGGAAGGGACCTCTAGAGATCATCTAGTGCAACCCCCTTGCTCAAGCAGGAACACCTATAGCACATGGCACAGGGTTGCATCCAGAAAGGTTTTGAATATCTCTAAAGAAGGAGACTCCACAACCTTTATGAGCGGCCTGTTCCAGTGCTCTGTCACCCCAACAGTAAGGAAGATCTTTCTCATATGCAGATGAAACTTCCTGTGTTTTAATTTATATCCATTACCCCTTTCCTGTCACTGGCCACCATTGAGTAGACTTTGGCCCCATCCTCCCTGCATTCTTCCCTCAGGTATTTGTACATATTGATCAGACGCCTTCTCAATCTTCTCCAGGCTAAGCAGATCCAGCTCGCTTAGTCTTTCATACGATAGATGCACCAGTCCCTTAATCATCTTTGTTGCTCTATGCTGGACCCTCTCTAGAAGCTCCACGCCCACTGATATGAAAATCGCAGATATGTTAGTGAATATCTCACATCTAGACTAAAAAGTTGCTTTAAAAGTGCAAGTATTACAGAGTGAACACGGCTAAGTGCCAACTTCCAGAGTGCAAACTTAGATCTTGCTTCCTCCACTGCAGGTTGAAGCAAGGGATTAGGCCCCAGCTGTCTGTATCTACCTGTAGTAGACATGCCCTGCACACCAAGAGATGCTATGAAAATAAGCAAATGTATTAAGCAAGCTAAGATTTTTAAGCAGCATCTTTTATTAGACCAACTGCATATTTTGAAAAAGTAGACAATTCCAATTACAAAATTTTCATCAAATCGTTCAAGGTTATGTCTGTCCATAGCTGTGCCTACGACTCACCTCGGGTCTTGGTTTACTCGTACCTTGAAGAAATACCACAGAGTTGAAATACACGCATAGAGCTCAGTCCAATCATTTGGAATTGGAGGAGTTATTTTGGACATCTCATAAGAGAGCATGAACTAGTGGGGCCCATACAAGAAAGTGCCATATGGCCTCAGTTCATCTATGGTGATTAGACTGAGGTTCTTCTAACACAGAACCTCTTCATCTTTTAGCTCTCTGGACACTAACTTATTACAACCAGATTATTCGCACAAAAGAAAAGTTATTTCCCTTCGCCTTTTTACTACTACTGGTAGTTTTTCACTGACAAAAAGCTGCTGATAGATCTAAGGGCTGGCAGTGCCTCTGAGGGAGGGTTCCCATAGCTTTGACACAGCATGAGACTAATTAGCATAAACTAATACAAATAAAATCAACTTTGATCTTCAGCAGAGCTAGGAATCCACAAGAAAGAAGCCCCGAGTGGTTCTGTGCTCTGTGTACACTATACTGCTTCTCTCCGAACCATGAGGAGATAGTCCAGGGCCAGTGGCTTTCCTCCAGAGCGTCCTACCAGATTCAACAGAGCTCAGGTTTCCCTATAAATACACTCAAATCCCACTGACTTTGCTAGATCTTAAAACTTAAGTACAAACTAAATCCTAAAGTACATAAAGTGCTTTATAACCCTGAGCCTTTCATGACTTGTATGAATTATGGCTATGACTCACCATGATATCAGAGCATCACATCCAGGATATAATAAAATAAGGCATTCCTTCATGGCTTATTTGTAAATTTGCAATTTGTAAATGAAGAAAAGCTTTTTTTCTCTTAGGTTATACAAAACAAACCTGAAAACCAGACTTTCTCTGATTCCTAGGGAAAAACAAAGATGATGTGCTCAAGCTAGTCAAAAGTGACAGCAGAAATTCCTCTCCCCTTGGTGTGCAATAAATGATACTGTAAAACTCAAGGAAGAGAGCTCATATTTACCGTTTTGTTGAAAATAAACCTTTTGTAAATAATAGTAATAACAATGACTGTCTAAAATAGTTATATTTGAGGTAGTGTTTTTTCACTCAAATCATTCTGACCAGCCCATTGCCAGACAGCAGCAGTCCTAGATATTCTGGTATAAGAAACAAACTGGCAGAAACATAGGAATTGTCAAGGTACAGCCATGAAACTGCACAACACGACAGTGACTCATTCCTGAGATCCATCTCCTGGATGTAGAAGCAGTATCTCTTCTAGAAACACGTTTTGACTGATTTTGGTTTTCATGACAGATGATTTTTTTTCTCTCCGCAGGATGGAAAGTAAGAACCTCTTCCTGAGCTTATTACTCTGCTACAGTTTACTCACAGCTGCCAATTCTCACCTGGTCATTGAAGAGAAGGCAGAATGCAACCTGTCGAAGAACAACAAAATGAATCTCCCAGATCTCTCATCCATCTCCATAGTAGGTTAGTAAAATTTACCACTTGGCACCAGATTAACAAGATTTGCAGAAGATACTGTTACAAATTAATATGGGGCATTCTTACCCCCATATTAATTTCTACAAATTTCAATTTCATATAAATGTTTAGCTACTATGCAGAGGTGCAGTGGCAATCCAGCCCTGACATCCAAGAACAACGTTATGGCAAACCATAGCTCCGGGTTCCTTTAGCTTTATGGTTCTTCACTAAAGCTTCTATCATGTTGTACGTCTTTTTGCATTCCACAGAAATGTTTCTCCATTAATATTCCACAATTTGTGCTCAAACTAGGTTGGTCTCTTACTTTATTTCCTTTATTTTCTCTGCACTTTTGCCCTGCACAATATTCCTTTAAGGACAAACAGTAATTTCTTAGTTCCTTTCCACACATACGCCTTTCCAGTGAAATCTGAACCACTGAATCCCTAAATTAACTGAAGGTGGTTCTCCTAACTTCAAGTTTTTTAAACTCATGCTGCTCCTCCTCTTCCTATAACATAAAAGAAAATACAAGAAAGCTTGGAATAGGACCACTGTCCTAACTCACTCTTCCAAAAAAGACCAAAATAGATGGAAAGCCGCTTGTGATGCTTCTGACCAGGGCTTCACTTGCTTCCTTGGGCCCAGAGGCATCTGCAAAGCTATTCCAAAGCTTTTCTTCTGCCCATTTATTCATACATAAGAGGCCAGTCTGGTCCCCTGTTGCCCTATGTCTAAAGGAAGCTTGTACCAATGCAAAGCAAGTAAGAAAACTGGTACAAAGCTTTTCCACTTTTTTTCCAATTCATGGAACCTCTCATATGTTTTGAAGGAGCTTATTCCAGTTGGAGAACCAGGTCCTCCGACCCTTGGGTCCCAAGTCCCTGCTCCCACTGCTTGCTGCAGCCCCAGCAATACCCATGCAGGGCTCAGGGCTCAGCTGCTAATTTTTGTTATAATATTGCTATCGTGGCAAAGGGCTGATGAGCTGCTCTCTCCCATCACCACGGAAATAATTAATTTGGAACAAGGCAGGGAAGGTTTAAGTCACTGCAGCCTCCTCTTCCCTCCTAATACATCCGAGCTGCCAATTTCCTTATGATTTAACAGTTACAATTTTTATATACAGCCTGTTTTTGTATAAGCTAACAGAAAAATATATTGTCAAAACCCTGGTTTAAACATTTCTCAAATACATTTTCTTACATTTTCCTACAGCAAGCCCTGCTCCTTCTGGCTGGAGACACAGAATAGAGCTGAGGCACCAGTGTTTCTGCCTTCACTATTAAACGTCACTGCAGCCTAACTAAATTAATAAAACCCATTTGCAACTGGCTGATTAAACATCTGTCAATCAGCCACAGCGCTCATGGTCTCACAGGGTGATATGATTGGCCCTAACTCAATAAACCCTATGGCTGCAATTGAATTCTGTCTTGAAAGATAAGCAGAAGATTTGCTGGTGTCAACTAGAAAAAAAACATGCAATCATCTAATTAACACATGCTTTTGATAAGGTTTCAGATCACAGTTGTATCAACAAGTGTTACAGGTGTGTGTGGTGCCAACACATTTGTAAGCCTATATTACGTTTTCCCAGTATTTTGACATATGAGATTCGTAAAGAGCTGGTTAATTGGTCAGGTGTTGAAAGCAAGATAGAGGGAACATGAGGATTATGAGATTAGCAGCCCGTTGGGAGAAACCTGATGTTTTGCCTAAACCAGAGCAGCTACGCAAGAGATAATTACAGCATTCATATGCCAAAATAAGCAGTTTTGCATTTCCCTCTCTTCTCCTTGCTGGGTTTCATTTTCTTCTTTCCCATATTCTGTGGAATAATTCAAATACTTTTAGGTCCAAGCAATGTTTATACCTCGGTTTAATGAAATCCTGTCCTCTTTATCTGCACATTGGCAGCATAATTTTCTAAGCAAAGCAGTGCAGCCAGCCTCAGCAAGTGCCACTGTACTATAGAAAACACACATGCTGTCCTTGCAGTAGAATGAAAATTCCTTATGAGCATATTGGTTACCACTGGAAGGTTTCCAAAGACAACATAATTTCACCTACATAAAATTACAGGCAGAACCAGACTTAAACCACTAATCTTAATTAGAGCAATCCCCTTTTAAACCGTGTTCTTATTAAGTGACAAGAACATTACACTGCTGAAACACAGTTCATCCTTCCACTGTCTCCTAGAAACACATCCATAACTAGGTCTAATAAGTGAAAATCTTTGTAACAGCCCAAACCAGTTTATTCTTTATTCTAAAATTTTGCATATTTTAGCAATTATCAAGTACTCAAAAAGTGTAGCAAATTCTGAAATATTGAATACGGAGCTGGAAAGTGCCCCACACTTTACTAAAACAGTTTTGTTGTGTTAGATGCCAATACACATCTTAGTTGTGAAGCAAACATTTAGCAATTAGTAATAATAGAGTTAATACAATAATAAAACTGGTATGTCTCAAGTGATAATAAAGGATGTTCACTCTAGTACTGCTTTAGTCTTAAACAAAAAAAAAAAAGAGAAATGAAAAAAAATCACATCAAGCATAGCACAGTATGAAGTTTACTCACAAAAATTTACCAAATCCAAGAATCTGTTCACATACATTAGCATATTTATATATTCATGCTTCAAAACTACAGGCACATTAACAAAACACCTCTGCAAGCAACATTTTGTAAAACAAGATGGGACGTAGAAAAGTAAAAAATGAAGAATGAAAGGGGTCTTCACAGATGAAAGTTAGGCAAGAAGTGGTTTTTGTGCTTGTGACACCCAAATTATGCAGCATTTTTGCAGAACATAAAAAAGATTTTTGAACATTTTTCCATTTTTGCCATGTGACTGGAGTGCATAAACACCCTCATCCTTGTACATGGTGACTCTGAATTTTATTTCTCTGCATCTTATTTCATCATTCATATCTGACCATGTAACACGTAAAAAGAATATATTCTAAAATACAAATATCAGTGATCTGCATAAGCAACAGTGACAACACATACTACTTTTAGGTGAGACTGGCCCCTAGGGACAACCAGCTTAATTACAGCATACTCTGCAGTGGAAATATGCAGCAGTGAAGTGACATTTCTGTAAAAATGATTTAATATTATGTTGTGTTATTCTCTTCGAAGATCTAACTAAAAGATCCCAGAAAGTCAGCAGAAAAGAGGCAGAAAACAAGAAATCATCCAAGGTAGGTGACTTCCAAAAACATTGCCAAGTTAGAGGGCCTAGTTTCTAATGCCACTCCTCAGTGCATTTCTTTGACAGGTTTTCCCAGCCCTCTCCTGATTTAAATAACGTGCACACATTTAAAACCTCTCAATACTGTAAAAACAGAATCACAGAATGGTTGAGGCTGGAGGGGACCTCTGGAGATGATCTAGTCCAACAGCCTTGCTCAATCAGGGAGAAGATGCAAAACATTAGCAGTAGAAAGAAAACCTTAGCTTAGATATGGATCTTTCAACACAAAACAGTCTAACCCATACCTTTTTACAGTGTTTGCAGTGTTTAGTATCTGCAAAAGATAACATTCCCAGAAACAGCATGCATGTCAACTGTGCAGGTCTGCAATGCAGAGGCATAAACTCACTATCTGCCGAATTTAAACTGCAAATGCAAAAATGCTGAAATAGAAGGATCCCAAGAAGTTGTTATTTGGTTGAAAATATTAACTAACAGTTTTACCGGATCAGATTAGGACTGATGGGTTTGCTGTTTGACGTAGTGTTACTCATAGCTGTGAAACATGAACTATTCCATAGGCCAGACTCCTATATTCTGCATGCTATCAGGGAGGGTAAAAAAGAGCATTTTCCTTTTACTATTAATTACTCATGACAGCCATTTATAGCCAAGCCAGGCATTGCTGCAATCAGAAATATTTAGAGCTCCTTCTTTTCCTATCTAATGTGTGTCTTGTAGGGTCAATCTTCCTTCCTTTTTAAATTCATGGGAAGATTCAGGCTAGAAGGGACCTCAGGAGATTGTCTAGTTCCACCTTCTGCTCAAGGCAGGAAATTCTTAAAGACAATTGTTATCCAAGTATTTTATCCTAAAGCACCTAAGGGAGCTCAAAACAATTCGTAACATACAGCTGAAATTTGTGAGAACAACTGAAAAGTTAAAAAGAAAACAAAGCACCTGCAGAGCTCCAGAGGTCTGGCTCAAGCCCCAGGACATGCTGATCAAGCTGAAGTTTCCTCTCTTCCCAACCATAGAGAAGCAACACTACTCAGGTTGGCCAGATTTTTTTTTCTGCCTACTTACCAGTGACTGTGATTAAAGATCCCCATGCACAAATCTGATGCACAAAGGGCCACCTAATTCCAAAAGCAGCCTGAAAAGCAAACCATGTGAGGAGGGTATTGACACATCATGGCTCCTCTTTGTCCCAGCCTTGCAGTGCATGAAACAAAGCAGATAGAAACTCCATGGATTAGCAGGAAATTTTTCTTCTTTCATTTGAAAATTTCTGAATCCAAGAGTAATTAATCACTTCTTTTTGCCTATAAAAACTGTTGTCTTCTCTGAAGATTGGGTCCTTTTCATTGCTAGGGCAGCCTCATTACATATGCTATTTTCTAAAGCTCATGTTTCTAATTACCCCAAAAATGGGGTTCATGCCATCTAGCATTTCCCTTGAGAGGTTGATCTGAAACCAGCATTTCCCATGTTCCGGTCCCATCATGTCAACTCTATATTGCTACTAATATAGGTCTCACTACAGGCAACTGGCGATTGATCTCAAGCCAGAAGTTGCCATGGTTCGTTTTCTATGCATCTATTTTTAATTCTAACTCATAACAGTTTTATGGTAGTATCAATTTTCATGAAAGGCTGACCCGAAGATACCTCCAAAACCAAGGCCCACACCTGCAGCTGACTGCGTGCCCAATTTCAAAACCTGCAAGCCGCACTTGAATTCATGTTGTAACTACTGTGCCTTGTGCAAATGCCGGATTTTTCAGACCATCTGCCAGTGTCTGCTGTTAAACCCAAAGTGCTAAGGCAAACCAGGAGTGCATTAAGGCTTCTGCCTTTCATTAGCTTCTCAAGTGTCTATTTCAAACTGTCTCATGTATTGCAATCAAATTAGAGCTTTGAAGCTGGTAGATTGGATTTGTCTCTCCTAAAACTAAATGAATAATGGTTTGGTTCATTTTGTTCATGGGGTAACCTTATCATAAACAGAATAGTTTTTAAAGGGAGCACTCAGCCAGGGAGATGAACACTGCACAAGTATTTTTGGCCGAGCTGACCTGCATTTAAAGATGAATGTCTTTTTTTTTTTTTGTTCCTTTCCCGAAGTGTAACGCCCATCAGACTGCAATATTGTCTAACCAGAACTTGCAAGACCTGCACTAATAATACACAAATGACCACACTAAAATGGTCTTGATTAATCCCGTGATGAACCAAGGCTTAGAGTTGCCTACAAGGACATCACTGCTCAAGCTCCTGACAGAACCACAATACCAAGTTGAAAATGCAGGTTTTGAGATTCACTCCCTCCTTACACATTCAGCAAAATTTAAGAGTTATAAGTTACTCTGTTTGGAAAAAAAACAGATCCAAAACAGTCAGGCAATGCTGTACTTACCTGCACATGAGCTTCACTATCAGTACACTCACCCCCAGGGTTTCCAGGAGTTCCAGGGTGTATAATCTACATGTATACTCTCACTTAAATATATCTGTGCCTTATGCGTTGAAAAATCAGGGTGTTTTTTTCCCCGGACATGAGAAAGTAATCCCTGGCACTTTGCCTCCTGCTGCCCTAGACATGGTACATGTCATTTTATTTAGAGACTAAACACATACTCAAGACATAGAGGAAGAAGGGAAAGATCTGAAAAAAGAATGTGTAGCCCACGTGTACAATTTGAAGAAAGCTGCTACAAGCAATCAATCTTTCTTTGTTCAAATCCATATGTACATTCTCACTGTGGACAATTCCCAGCACCTACCTAAACATGAATTTGTCTGGCAAGCTTCATGCAAACAGCAAGTGCAAAAAAATAAGCAAATGCCGCATCAACCCTTGAAGAGTCAGAAGTAGTTCTGTGTTTAGGGGCAGTATGCATAAAGATCTGGCCAGCAGCATATAAATGCCTAAAAACAAGACATTTTTCTCTTTTTCTTGAAGAGCCAATCCTGAGTTGTCCAAGATGGCACAGCTGGAAATCCCTCCTTTGCCAAAATACACAGAGAGGTCGTAGGTCATAAGAGAAGGGAGGAGCAGCGCTGAAAACTGTCTCCAGAACCCAAGACGTTTTTTACCTTCTCTCTTCTGTATCCACAATCTTCTCTCTCCCCACTCCTTCACAGTCTTTTCTTCTGTGGTTCCTTCTTGAATTTAGTCTTTCCTCTTCCTCCCACTGTTACTGCCAGCCAGTAGAAGCATCATCTGCACTACTGCCATTTAATCCTTATCTTTCTGCATTCACTCTGCCTGCCTGTGAAATGACCACAACAGCATTCTTGCCAATGCTTTTTGGCTTCTCTAATTATGGATTTCCGATCACAAACATGAATTTTCTCTTGCTCTGCGCAAGGCTATTTGGGAGAGCATTTCTTTACCAATTTATCGGCCAGCACAGCTAAGGGCTACAAAATGTTCCAGTCAGACAAGAACAACATAGGTGATACAAACACTCTGTAAAGTAGCTCAAATTATATGTTTTTTTTTGCTTTTTCTTTTTTAAAAAAATTATCTTTAAAAAGACCAGAGCTCAAAACTTAGGCTAAATGTTGATTAAAAAAAAAAAGTCTGTCCATCTTCACAAAGATATATAAAGCTGGCAGGGAAATTCATCTGAGACAGCCTAAACAGTGCAGAATATCATCACATCAAGCATTCATAAGATGTATCAGCTGTCAAACATGACAAATCTGGATTCCTGTAAAGGCACATAGCTATTTCTTTTAATGAGTCATTTTGGCTTAGGAATCTGTAAAGCATTCAGTCGTTATAGAAAAGAAGAGGAAGAACGATACACATTATGACGGTCCCACGGAACAGAATTTAGCATCTCCTTTTAGGAATGACGGCTGCAAGCTCCTGTCAAGGAGGTTTAAAATAGTGTTTCCCAAGAGTGTCAAAAAGTGTTTGTTTGGTTGATATTAAAATTAAACTAATAAGCACATCAACTTCTAAAGGGTAAACAAAATTATTTTCTTATCGAAATGGTGACCAGAAAAGGTCTTGAGATGCAAAGGCTAAACTAGCAAATCATGGGATGGTCCATTTGTACAGTGGAAGAAAAGAAAATGTCCTTTCCTTTGAGAATGAGGGGATTTGTTTTTAAGCACATACTTCTTAACATAGCATTTACGCATAGTGCCTTTTGACAAATTTGATAAGCCTTTTTTTTTTTTTTTTGTAGCTGGAATTGATTAGAAAGAGATTATGCTTTCTTTGCCATTCATCTATCATACTGAAGAATATTTAGAATCAAGTGCTTTGAAATTGTTCTTAACCTTAATAACTTTACTTTTCCAGCTATAGATCATGATGTGAGGTATTGATATGATACAGAAATCAGTAAAACATGTACACATACTCTTTGTTTCCTGTATTTCGTTTGGACAGTTATTTATGTTAGTTTGCTGTGAGAGCTTCCCATCTGAAATGTCATCAGCACACCAGTGATAAAATATACACATGGCAAAGATGGAGTGTTTAATTTTCAGTTGCCAGATGTCAAAGTGTCTTCAATGAAATCTTTGTCACAGTGCAGACTCAACAATGCTCCAAGACACAGTCTCATTCTGCTCATGAGATTCATTAAAGTTTTACCCTGATACAGCCAAGCAGAATTCAGTACAAATCAGTCGCTATTAGCTTTTCCAAATATCTTGTGTGGATTTGAGAGAGACATGATTTTCCATCTAAAGTCCTGATCTGATTGCTTATTGTCAAACTCAGACTGTAAAATTCCACATTTACCTCAATAAACACAAATCAGTAGAATTAACTCCCCAATGACAGCAACTTCCAACACCTTATAGTCTCCTAGGCTAATGCTTGAAACCATCTGGGAGACCCGTGAGGAAAAAACACGGCTTTGTCATGTGAATCTTTAGGATCTTCTCACAGAAGGAATAATTTGATGGAGGGCAGAACCACTTTGTCCACGCTCCGCAGAAGAGTCAACAGTATTTGTGATGCAGCAGCTTTGTCTCTGGCTGCTGAATAAAGTTTAATAAAAAGTCCCTCTGAGACACAGAGATAGGGCCAGCTGCACAACGAAATGAATAATTTGAATGAGGTAATTTCCTCCTAGCAAATTATTCTTCTTACAGAGAATAAAAATTAGAGGCACAGTGCAGATTTTGGTCTTAAATTTGCTCTGGTTCCCATTGCATGATCTCAGCTAAGAATGTTTTCAAGAAGAACTTTAAACAAAAAGGAGACCAGGACGTGGTCAGCCTTCTTTGGCAAAGGAGCACACTTTCTTTTGTTGAACTTCATGACGTTCCCATCAGTTCCAGCCTATCATATATGTATATACATACATACACACACATATATATATAGACAGACTTCTTAAAGGCTAATGGCAAAAATATTTGAAGCCAGTAGCTGAAAAGACAGCAATTCCTTGAGTCGTCAAGAATGGAAATGAAAGCAAATTCATTAAAAATATTTCATCAACCAGAGGTCCTGCACTCCAAATGGCCTCAGAATTATCTGACAGAGCCAGACAGATTTAAGCCAGAAAACTGTAACATTTAAAAGACCTCCTTGCTATAAAATCATCATTCAACTCATAATAATAGATTATCCATTTGGGAAGCAACTATTTGCAGGACCAAGTGAGCAAACCACATGGTTTAGTCCCCTTTATGTTCTTCAGCTTATTCACAGCATCTCTCCTGCTACAGGAAGGGATTTGGTCAGAGATGTCATTCTTCATTTGCAAAGCGACATCACGCCCACAGATTTGGCAGCATCTTGGGCAACTGCTTTCACATCCAGAAAGAGTTTGCATCAAGTTATTAAAAAGATGCAGAAAGGAAGCAATTTTGGAGGAGAAGAAAAACAAGAACAGCAGATACTATTCTCGAGTAGGAATCAAGTTAACAATGCAAAGCAGATACCAGTGATAATCCCAGGCTCAAAACAGATTCTGAGTGTCAGCCCAGCTACTAAGGTTTTAAAGGTGCTTTCAACAGCTACAATAGCACAATTCCCATGCTGTCCAATTTACTTCTAAAATATTGCTCTCCTATCAGGGAACGAGACCACATGCCCAGGAATGTATGGCTATTTAATGCTCCCTTATGGATATTAATTCCTAGATGATGAAACCAAAACCAGAGTGCAACACACACACAAAAAATGTTGCTGGATGCAACAAAGCAAAAGCTTTGATACAGACTGAATAGCCTGAAGATTTGAATTGCTCTGCCACAGAACTTCGGGGTATTTGATAGAAAGACTGCATGTCTTCGCCATCTAGTTTAGAAGGTTGCTGCATAACTTTTTGTTCCAACCTATTAACTTCTGAAAGTATTTTTCCATAAACTTGCTTTTTTTACAGTCATGTTTGTGGGCTTTTTTTCAGTTGCCCTGCATCCATGAGCACTCATGCTGAGTTAGTGATTAAAAAAAAGAAATGGCAAAAATACTTAATTGCACTTGAAGCTCATTACAGCTGTGCAAAATTATCCAGCAGTAAACACTGCTGGTGCTAAAACTACAGAGACATTACAGCATAGGTTTACTACATCTGATTAATCTTAAGAAAAAAAAAAAAAAAAGGCCCCCAGAGGCCAAAAATCCACAGCTTGCTTTTGAGAAACATCAGATCTTCTTTGAGGAGAACTACTGTGATGAAAACAGGGCAGTCATTAATCACACAGCCAACAGGGGAGCCTCCGTTGTGGCAATCTTCATCCCTAGACAGTGTTGATCTGTGTTTCCTAAGGCTTTCTGAGCTCCTCCATTAATCTCCATTTCACAAAACATCCAGCCACTCAAAAAGAGTAAAGAGCAGGACTTTGCAAGACAACTGCAAATTAGGATTAAAAAAATATATATATCAGGGACTAATCAATTTGATTGCAATAAATGGACAAAAACTGATGGCCTGGGTTCTCTGACTACTTTGCACTCAGTAATGGAAAGGATCAGGAGGAGAAAGAGCTGCAATAATTGAAAGAGGCAATAATATTTCAGTGGTAACGAGCTAAATGTAAGTATTGAAAAAGAATTCAAAAGAATTTTGATAAAATGTGGGATCATCACTCTTCCAAGCAAAATCAAAGAACTGTCTCGAGCCTGGAGGCAGAATCCTGCATTATTAATGTATTTTCGTCCTTGGGTTTCCCAAGGAACCCAGGGCACAGGAGGGGAGAGACTCCCCAGGCTCAGCATCTTGCAGGGCCCATCCAGGTAGACTGTGCCGGGGAAGACATCTCGGAATCACCAACGTGCTCCCAAGCACAGGGCAGCAGAGGCGGTGGAAACCCCAAGACCCCATTAAAAAAAAAAAAAATGGACAAAGTTTATAAACGAGAATTGCTGCCCCTGTGGTAACTACGCTTATTTCAGCACTACTTAATTCCCATTTTCTCCCCAATCTATTTAAAAATCTGTTAAATTAAGAGCCAGGAATATCTGAATTTGGGGACCAACTGATAACTATAAAACACACACACACGCACATACTATCTTTAACATTTGGATTCAGCTTAGATGCTATTTCTCATGGTTTCCACATCCCACTTACTTATCATGCATGCCTACCCAAACTAGCCTACAGTTATGTATTTTCTTAGGAAATCTCACCTCTCCTTTATTTTTGCTTTGCAAGCACAGCTGCGCAGAGAAGCACCCTGCGCAAAGGGAGTGTGCACAAGCACGTGGTTAAATGAGCCTTCCAGCTTGCACATACTCCAGACCTGTGGTGTTTCACAAGCCGAGTCTGAAACTTGTATTTGTTCCTACTCGAGCTCCCACCCTGCCCACGCCAAGGTCTCTGTATCAACTGTTTGCAGCACAGCAATCCATTGACCCACCGCACACCTTTTTTCCCTCCCATGAGTCAGACCCATAGAGCCTAGGGCTGGTGTTTCACATCCCCTGCAACATCTGTGGCGCAGGGTCAAAAATAAAGAGGAACTGTAGCCGGTCACTGTCCCAGGACTCAGCGTGCCAGATGGGGGCTGCTACACGAACCGATGCGCCGGGATTCAGCCCTGGGGAGGGCAAGCTCAGGAGCCTCCGTACACACAGATGCTAAGTTCTCTTTACTATTGTTTTGTTTGTTTTTTAAAAACATTTTTTGCTCCCCTCCCTTTTCTTTTTTTTAATTTCTAGCTAAAATCATTTCAAGGAAATCATAGTGGTATAACATACTCTCTATTGAGGGGAAACACGATGCTTAGGACAGACTGAAGAGTGAATTCACAGCATCTAGATAAAAACAAAACAACCTGGAAAGCTGCTAAAAAAATGCAAATCGTTTAATGAAGCTCTTAGTGACAACAAAAGTGCTCTTGCCAATGAAAAGCAAGTAAGCAATGAGATTGTGTGATGACTTCTACTATGGATCAGGCACCTCTTGAGGAATCAGCAGATTCCAGACTTGTCTTAGAGACCAGGCTGAGATTTAAGGTCCTTTAATGGCCATGCAGGGAAGAAGACTGACTGCATCTGGGCTGTATCAGCAAAAGTGCAGCCGCAGGTCAGGAGAAGGGAGTCTTCCCTATCAATACCCTATCTGGCATTGAGAACATCTGCATCCAGTTTGGGTTCCCCAGTAAAAAGGAACCATTGACCCAGATGGCTGCGGGGCTGGAACATAAGGTGCACAATGAGATACCCGAGGAGTCTGTTCAGCCTGGAAAAGGTGAAGGTGATTTATCACTGCCTATAACTTCTTGATAACAACATGCAGAGAAGATGGAGCTAGACACTGCTCAGACACACAGAGATAAAACATGCAGGCAGAGACAAGCTGCAACACAGAAAAATCAAATTAGAGGCAAAGAAAAGCTTTTCACCTTGACGGGAGTCAAATATTAGGATAAAGGCTGAAGGAGGTTGCGTGATCTCTTATCTCTGGCAATACTCAAAATTAAGCTGGACAAGTTGTTCAGCATCTCCATCTAATTGATCATCACTGGCCATGATCCAGAAAAGTGATCAAGTCAAATAGAATTATAGCCTTGGACTTCAATTACAGTTGAACTAATGAGGAATGTGAAAGGGAACAGAAGGGTCTCTGCAAACACATCAGTAGCACGAGGAAGCCTATGTAAGGTATGAGCCCACTGCTCAATGAGGCAAGTGACCTACTGCTAAAAGACATCGAAAGGGCTAAAGTACTCAGAGCCTTACCTTGGTTTTCACTGGTCAGATCCGCCCTCTAGTCCACCAGGTCCTTGAGCTTGGAGGCAACAGCTTGTGAAAATGCAGCACTACCCACTGCAGAAGATACAGTAGGGTGTATTTAAGCCTACTGAACATGCAGAAGTCCTTGGAAGTGGGCAGTACACAGGCCTGGTTGCTAATGAAGCTGGCTGATACCACTACAAGACTTCCCTTATGAAAGGTCCTGGCAATTGAAGCAATTTCTGTGGTCTGGAAAAAGGCAAACATCTGGATACTGTTCTGTGACAAGCAGCAATGGACACAAGCTGCAATAAGAGAAGTTTCAATTAGGTCTTGGGGGTGAAGAGAATCATTCACCATCTGGGCACTTGAACATTGGAACCAGGGCCCAGAAAAACAGCAGGGAAATCTAACCTTGAATACGATCAAAACCCAGCACAATCAGCTCTGAGCGCCTTGCTTTAAGCAGGGGAGGTTGGACCACACAAACTCAAGAACATCCTTTCAATCTAAGTTATTCTGTGACTCTGTAAAGATTAATACCACTTGAAATACACGCATTAGCAAATAACACTGGTCAGCACCCAGTCATGGTGTTTCCATTGCATCTGATCTACCACAATGGTTTTGGATATCTTTGTTCTCTTCCACATGCAGCTTTCAGACATAAGGTGAACATTACATATCATCTGCATTCAGATGTGTACTTCCCCCCTGCCTTAGAAAGGGATGAATTATACTAGAAGACAGGTCAATCAAACTCCTTTTCCCCTCTCAAAGAACCTGAACAGCTAACTCTGATGTATAATTTGTGCATGAGTGGTTATATACATAAGATATGGAATACCATAAACAAAAGTGATTAATAGGGCTTCACTTCTGGGTCTGGGGCTCTGCAAGGATGTTAAATGGTTTTGTTCCTTTTGATCAAGTACAATTTTGGCACTATGCTGCAAAAAGCTCAGCATAAATACAGAAATTTACATGATAACACATTACTGACTATGGAAATTCAGAGTGGCTGTTTGTGCAATCTGAACTCAGTTAAAATTCATGTTGCTTAGTGACTGGCAAAAGATTTTCTGCCATATAAAACAATGAGTAAAGTTGCCAACTGAGCCACATCCCCTTTTTCTCTGCCTCAACCCTTCACACTCTGCACCATCTGTTTTAATCCCTCACTAACACTGCATCTGTTGCTCAAGCATGAATCTCAGAGCACTTCAACCATTGTTTTAGTGTAATATTATACCAAATCCCTCATTTTCTCACATCCAGACACAGAGGTGGAGAGGTATGTGCATTTCAGAGAGACAGAAATATTTTCTGCAACATTCAGCCCTTCAAATAAGTTTACATAATCTGAGAAGCAGCTTTTCCCAGCACAAATGTATGATGACAACTAGAGCTACAGCAGTTAAGTTTGCCTGGAGAAACTAACTGAAACATTTTCAACAGCTTAAGGAACACTTAAAACCAGATAATCCATGGCAAATCAAACAAAGCATCTCACTACACAAAACAAGTCAGGCCACCGTCAGATCTTTTATTAAAGCACTTTTGAGACACTGACAGAGAAGATATCACAGATGCGACAACTTAGAAAATCAAGCTGGGATAGAAGTGTCACTGGTGTTTTCAGAGAACCAAGCATGATTCCAGCATGTAACCATCTCCTCAGTGGTTTCCTCAGCCATCCACAAGACACTAAAGGGCTCTTAAAAATTAAACAACCCTTCTAGAATTGCTGTGGAACCAGAACATAAGGTTCTTGGTTTTGATCAGAACTGCAGTCGAAGTTAGTGTGTGTGTGCATGTGCACAGAGAATGCATCCACCTTGACTTCAGTTAAGGAACCAATTCCAAGAGTTAGAGTGACCTGTTCTCACTAGGAAAACAAACTCTGACACTTTCTTGGTAAAGGGATCAGTTCTGCAGTACTGAGGGGATGAGAAGGGCTTGTTCTCAGAATAATCTCCAGCATACACAAAAGAGCTTTGGAAGGTTTCATCCCTGCATGTTGTTCTTTGGGTAGTGCCACCTGCTCAGTATCTGTAGTGATCTGGCTTGAATGGCCCATCTTTTGATAAGCCTAGGTATTTGGCCTGCTTCTCACTCAGCTTTGTCAGCTTCACACACAGCTTATCCAAATGTGCAGCAGCCACAGCTTCATCCAGCTGAAAAACAAAGCATTGAGATAAGAATATTAGCAGAACAAAGTCCTATTATTCATAAAAACTCATAGTCAACTGTGGGAAAAGAGTATGCGAAAATCAGCAGCAGCCCCAGGAAGGATTTAACAGGCAGGCACAAAACAGTAAACAAGGTCTTCTGCCAGCATCACCTAAGTACAGAGACACTGAGCATCGACTGCATTCAGATTGAAAAGCCTCAAGCTTTTCAGGGAGTCATATCCAGCTCAGGATTAGCAATTTAATTAAGTTCATTTCGATTTCATCTACACATTCACATCAATCGACAAGAACAGAAACCAAGCTTTTTGGAGACAAGAATACCCAGTTTGGTAAAACGCAGAAAAGCCCTGACCATGTTTCCACTACAAAAACATCTCAACATACTGGTCTGTCATCATAAGATTGTAGAGATGTTCTGCTGTTGACAGAAAAGAATACGTCTGGTTTCCAGATCTCATCTTCAAGGTACACACGTTAAGAAAATTCATTCAAGAATAACCAATCCAATAAGAATCCTAAAATCTCTAATCATGCCTTCATGACGAATAAACCCAAGGTGTGTAGTGGAAAGTATATTAACAGCATATTTTATAACTCACTTTTTCTGAGTATAATGGGCTATTCTTTATCCCAACAGTATCAGACAATAGCCACCTACTAACTTAAGCAATTGAAAAACACAAAGTTACAAGGCAGTTAAGAATCAAGGAGATGGGTACACGAGTCAAAACCAGAGAGTAACAGGAAACTTCAGTTATTCCATCAGAAGGGAAGGGAGAGCCACAAGAGACTCGAAGGTGGAAAGCACATAGCGTTAAGGGATCAGTGCTGCTGAGTTACACAAAGACTAGTTTTAACATCACTTTCAATTCCTGCAATGTACAAGTATTTATTGCTAAGGAAACATATAAACCTAAATTTCCAGCAGCACAGGAAAAAGTTATGATATCCCCCCTATATAATCAAACACATGTGAGAATTCATAAAATATTCAAAGAGAAATAAGTCAACCAAACAATGAAGGACCAAGTCTTCAGCTTGTGTGAGCCAACATCTCCTAAATGATTCAGTGTTTAGCCCTCAATTTCCCACACAAAGGGAGTGTAGTAACTAGTAATCACTCTAAAATAAATTTTACTTCAATGAACCAACTAATGGGATGAAAAATTATATTTATACACAGTGCAGTTCCCTGGGGTTCTATCTGCTGATAGTAAGTAAAATGGAACTGCTAAAATCTCTTCAGAAACAGCATGCCCCAAGATGTGCAAGAGAAATGATTGAAAAACAAAGATCAAGCAAAGAACGTAGCAGTGAACTATGAAAGGTGCTAAATACTAGAAAAACAAAAAAAGCACCACCAGCAGGAGTGAAAGAAAATCTCACTAGGAAGATGGGATTTAAAAGGGAAAGAACTATTTAAGCCTGCCAGATCCTTCCAGAAGATTAAAAATTGAATACATATCTGGCCAACTGGTGTACTTCCAACATGACAGGTTAAATCCACAATTTCAAAAGAAGCTGTTGGTGAGTCAGGTAAACTCATGTTCTTACCTAGTGCACACAAAATCAGATAGCTGAGAATAAAAAAGGGATAAGTTTGTTGCCAAGGGCCTAGATACAATAGTTTGGTTAGATTTTTCAGGAAAATGCACAGCATTTTCTTTGATTACTAGAATATAATTTTGATGAATACCTAAGGCAAACATGAACAGATTCTGTAATGCAAGGTACTTTGTACCTAAACAGGAAACATTAGGCAGAAAATTATCAAAGAACAGGCAACATTAGTCAGAAAATTATCAAAGAAAGCTCTTCTACCCATCTTCCCTTGGTCCTGACATGAAGACAGCTTCATTCTTTTGAAATCCTCTATGAAGTACCGTGGGCAAAGAACAGCATTTTGCCACAATGTGTGTTCCTAAGCAGATCACTGCCATATGCTAAACAAATTAATGCAATTCAGTTTAAGTCACTGATTTGGGCATTATTACTCAGTTCCAGTTCAAACATGTTTACTACAAATTGTTATTTAAAGGAGTTTTATTAGCACCATTGGACTATCCCTTTCTCAAGAGGATTGGCAGTAAAACATTTCTTCTGAAGAGGATGATCAACAAGCTCTCTGACACATAATCAATTCCCACATTAGGTCTCTGGTATACTTCATTTGATTATTAATGGATGGTTTTAGAAGCTTAGAAGTTCTTCAGCAAACACTTCATAAACAAGCCCAAACATACATACTCTATTTCCCAAATGAAAAGCATTTTCACATTTAATGTCACATCTGGTTGCATTTCAAAGGCAGTGGGATTTAACTCCAGCATCTTTTTCAATGTCTATCTCAAATTCTCAGGCTTGTTTTGAAAAATTAAAACCAGATTAGTTTTATAAAAGGAATTTGAAAGTTATGACATGATCCAGATTTCTCCAAGAACAAAGAATCCACAGATAAGTTTAAAAGGAAACCCAAGGGAATCTGTGTCATGAATATTTCGTGAAGATATTAGGACCAGATTGTGATAAGCTCTGCTCAGGTGCAAATGAACCCCAGACTCTTTGAACCACAGTAAGGAGGAGATAAGTCAAATGAAGCTTCCTAATCATCCTGAGGCAGCACAGAGCTCCCCAGCACCTCTGGGTGGAACTCCCCAGTCAAGCTGAAAATTGAAACATGAACATTCCTACTGCACGTGATGGATGAGTGCCGGTTCCGCACGCCATGTCGCAAGAATCAGCCCCCTTCTGACTCAAGAGGCTCAGCATAGCTGAAGTAAAAAATTCATTGAGGGACAGAAGCTCCCCGAGAACACTGAGTTCAAGCACAGACAGAACTGGGTTAACTTATTCCATCTGAACTTGGCTTAACTCACCTTCTTTGGAAGAAAATGGACTCCAACAGAGTATTTGTCACTATTGGTCCACAGCTCGATCTGTGCCAACACTTGGTTGGTGAAGGAATTACTCATAACGAAGCTCGGGTGACCCATGGCACAGCCCAAGTTGACTAGTCTGCCCTCTGCTAGCAGTATAATGTGGCGGCCGTTCCTCAGCGTGTACCGATCCACCTGGTGGAAAACAAACCCAAACAAGTCAGAAGTGAAAGCACTGACAACATTTACTCATGCAAAATTTGGCAAACAACCTTCTAACACCAGCAATCCAGCAGTAGGCTTGCAAAATGGACTTAGATTATAACTGAGAGGTAGACACTGACTGGGAACTGAGTGATGTATCAAGTCTGTAACTGTTCTGGATTTCATACATCATATATCTTAGTATACATTTCTCATCTAACCACTTATCCAGCTCTTCTAGCTTTTCTGCATGCCTGTCATCTCAGATGGTTGCTGCAAGAGCATGCTGCCAACAGTGACATTTAATTCATGTATGTGTAGTTATAGGGACTGGTGTGGAGAAACAGGAAAACACATTTAGATGCAAATGCTGTCACATGTAATACAGGGGTCACAGTCAGAGTCCTCAGCTTATTGAAGTTACTCCCTTGTAACTTTCTGCCTCTTTTCAACCATTGCTTTGCTGTGAAAGCACATTCAGCTCTTATCTGCAGCAGGCTGCACCTGAGCAATGTCTGCAAGCTCTTTGGCACTGTTCTAGGGTCTTCAGCCTTGCAGTTTCAAACCTCACCACCCACCTTGCATGAGCCCAAGTCCAGCTGAGGATGGGTCAACACAAAAGGCCCTCTTCCCTTGTCCAGTGAGCAAGTAAGGATACACCTGCAGCTGTAAAGCAACAGTGTAACAACACTGTCCTAGATCCTGGTGAACTTCCTTTGCTCTTGGAGCTGCACATATAAATCCTCCACTCAGATCAACCTCCAAGCAATGCTAGGGACAACAAGACTCCGCACAGGACCGTATCTCATACATCGAGTCCCAAGCAATGCAGGAGATTTTTTTCCCTTAACATGTGCCTGACCCACACTGGAATCCTACAACATTAGCTCTTCACACTCGTGGGAGATTAGAACATTAAAGCTTAGAATTAAATGCCAATATTGCCCGTAAGTCACATGAACATTCATTATTCACTGGTATTCACTGCTCATCTCTAATACCAAACAGTTGGGAGTAGATTAAATCTCTGAAAAGATCAAAGATCAGCTTGGATAAGACTACTGCTATCTTAGACATTCATTTATCTTGTGTTTTCATGGCACGAGTATTGTGAAAGACTTAGGAGGCTTCCTCCCCACACTGGATTTACACTTCCAGTCTCAGAATTTTATTCAAATGGAGCAAAAGCAAAAACATCACTTTGTTCTTAAGCTCTAGCCTGTAGGATAGGTGAAGAGCCACATGGAATCTACACCCTTAATTGCACAATACTACTTTCTGCAAAATCCTTCTACCCAGGCTCTTAGAAGGCAGTTCAACAGGTATTCAACCTTCAGAGAAGTTGTGCAGTTGCATGCCTTTCCTACATGCCTCTCCCAGCAATTCCAGAGTGATTTCTAGGATTTGTGTGCTGGAGACAGCTTTCCCCACCCCTGCCCTCAGCAAGGCCTGTATGAGTAGACAGTAACCACCTCAAACAGAAGCCCTAAATAAAATCCTTAATTTCTCCTTTCTAAGAGGACAACCAGACAGTATTAGTAAGAATGTTTTCCATAGCACAGCTTTTGCACTTCTTAGAGAAGACAGCTCTTCAGTATGGATCACTGTGCTGAATCCATCCAAAAATCACAACACGTAGCATCAGAAGACTGAGAGGAAATAATGAAACCAAGGACAAAGGAGACAAGCAAAGGACTTGGAATCCTGAGAACTGTCCTGTAGCAGCAGTGGGGAGACACCTGCATGTTCGTACTCATGTTACACCCCTGCGCATTTTCAGGCAAAAAATGCAGTTTTATTCAGAACTAGCAAAACGGTTACAATAGCATTCCATTATGAATGACAGAATGTGTGCCAGCATCCATAAGAACAACCCTTAAGTTCTTTTCTTTGGCACAGGATACTCATGGAAAAAGCCAGGAAATTACAAATTATCACAACACTACAGGAATTTTTCACATTAAAGCAAAAAGCACTCAAATCACTTGCATAAATATACCTCTTTCCAAACGGGCAGAAGAATATACAATTCCAAGTTTCTCATACACTTTTAATAGTAAACCCTGTACAGATTAATATGGCCACAAGGTATCGCACTTAAGGGCTACTGTTCTCAGGCCTGAACAGCACGGGTTGGGTGTCAAGATATTGGGTATCTTGACACTAGTTACTGTATTCCCATATACTGGCACAGCTTGGCACCTGCACAGCAGCCAGGCGGTAAATGGAATCTCCACCACAAGCCTCCTCCATAGGTGCATAAGGCTGATTTATAAACCCACAAAATTGCTAGAGAAGTAAAATTCAAGTCATCCAATTGCCAAGTTTATTTGAAGATTTCTGCAAATGCCTCCTCCTTTTCTTAATTTGCATGTAACTTGCTCCAGAGTTTGTCTGGTTTACACTGCCTTTGTGTCACCCCTTCACACCTGAGAATAAATCACACAAGAGTCAGAGCTCACAGATCTCACCCGGACCTTTCCTTCCCCTCTAAAGTTGTGCTTGTGTTACAAGTCACTAATATCAGAATGCAGCTGAGTGGGATTTTATGAAGAGCAGACCAATATTAAACACTGCCATGTTTTCAGGAATAAGTTTACTTGGTATCCAGTTGTACTTTGAAAGCAATGGATGCATCAGCTTGGCACATGGGGGCACCTTCCTGTTGCAGGCATTAGATGAAGCTGAGGTACAAGTGGCACATCCAATGCTGCCAGAGACACCTTCTGCAAATTTTAGCCGTTATCTTTGAGCTTTCACATGTATGACACCCTCGACACAGTGGGCAGTGGGCTTCACAGCTTTTACTGTTTGAATAGGGTCCCGCCTTTGGGGAGGTTCAGAACCGGAATAAAAGCAGGATAGGAGGTAGGCCTTACATCAAGCCATATGGACTACCTTGTCTTTAATTCTATTCTTTTGAAAAACAACATGCTGTCTTTAGCCAGATACTTGTTATTATTTTCATGCCTTGGATTAAATTGCATCTTACTGGAGGACTGGCTCCTTTAAAATGTCATATCCATGGGAAAGGGAGTATTACCTCCTCCAACAGCGATACTTAATTTTTCAGGCAGGACTAAGAGCCACACTGAATATCCACATTCAGGTAAGTTTGTGTGCTACCATAAAAACATCCCCTTTAGTCTTTGACATTTGCTTTTTGAACAATTCCAGTTTTAGTTTTGAAACCTGAGCAACCCAAGAGCAAGCACCTAGCTGCAGCGTCACCCAACGAGGAGCTCGTTAGTCAGATCTACTCTAAGGTCACAGGCAAGAACAGACTTGAACACAGTTAGAATTTGGGCTCAATTAAATCTGGAGCTATACGCTCAATTTCAGTGTACCAAAAGCAAGCAGGATGTTGCAAAGACTCTCAATTGCTTGCTGCAAGTTCAGCATGGGTGGCCAATAAGTCACAGGGGAGTTAAAATTCAAAAAGCAGATTGAAATCTAAAAGATGCTTAGATGTGTTAAAAGAAAACACCACATACCTGTCCCAGAAACCTACCATCAGCAAGCACACTGCCTCTTCAAAAAGGAACTAGTTGTTGTTCTATGCCAAGTCAGACACATGGTTTGCCTTAAGCAATGTTCTCTCTCAAGGCTGGTGTTACCTAACAATTTTGGTTTCATTTAGCTCTGTTTCTTTAAGGACTGCTTAATTTCAGCTGTACAGCTGAATTTTTTCATCTTTACCTTCCCATGCAGTTACAGCTTTAGATGGAAGTAGGCACACAGTAGGAATGCAAGTGAAGCAAGCATAAAACATCCCTCCACATCTGCCTACAAACAGACTTATGGTCCACAGGTTTCCAAAATGAAAGCACTGAGCCTGGAAGAGAACTGAATTTGGCAGAGCTCCAAACAGGCATTACCAAAGCTTCCACCTCTTAATAAAATGTGCTTTGAAGAGGTGTGAATTTTTTCAAACCTTGGTAGAATCTCAGAAGACATTCTCTTGAGATTCATCCTAACACTAGCACTTTGTGTTAGGACTGAGATTCTTCTAGTGCAAGACAGCTCATTAGCAAGCGACTTCCTGCAAGGAAGTTTAGATCAAGGCAATCTACACTCTGTAATGGCCTGTTCTGCATTCACCATCTAGGTTACTTTTTAAAGATAAGTTTGGCATTGTTTTCAGCTGGCTATCAAAGAAAGCCCATATCCACACCTTCCCTCCCACACCGCAAACATCAAAGCTGACTTCTTGTAAGGAATGAGCATTATGGAATTGTCTACACAGTCACCACCAAGAAGGCAGACGAGTGTTTGCAAGGGAAGTAGAAACATATGGACAAAGATGTATCTCTCCAGGCACCTCTTGCCAGCGACCATGCTGTACCCACGGGCACTGGCTAGAGCCAATTGCTTTAATATCAATGTAATAGAATTATGTGCAACTGTTCTACATTAATGGGGAAGAGAAGATCAAAATCAACATTCTGATCAGCCTCCAGCAAGGTTAGCTTCCAAATGAGCTAAAAACAGAGATAAGTATCTAAAGAGAAAGTCCTTCCACCCCTTTCTGGGGCATGTCACTGACTGGCTTTTCTTTCTAGCAGGAGACTCGTGCAAGTGCTGTCTCACCTGGGGCTTAACATTCACAGCCTCTACTGCATTTTCATTCAGCCACTTTGCGTCAACTTCCACATCAAAATGGCCAATATTACACACTATTGAATCATCCTTCATCTGCTCAAAGTGCCTGTAAAACAGAAGTTTTATCAACAGTTAATGCACACATGAAAAGACAAGCACAAAAACAATACACAGCTCTTCCAGCACAAGGATTTGCACTGATCCATAGCTCTCCTCAAGGAAGAGCAAAGAATCTTTGTCCCACTGATTGAATTTGAGCCCCAAAAACAAGAGCTGTGCAGATAGAAATCTCAGTGAAAAAAATATTCGAGTTTCTAGGAAGGGGATCTTTCTAAAGATATAAGAGTGTGAGCAAAAACCTTTCTAATATAGAAAATAAAATTAATTTTTGAATTGATCAGAAGTAGAATACCTGCAGCTATTCTGCTCTTTCCTACTACTTGTTTTTAAAGTTGCCAGTAGTTTTACATCTCCGTAGTCTAATGGCCTTATCTCTTCCCACTTCATTTGACCTTCTATTCAACAGGTACAATCACAATGGCAAAGACAGGAATGAGAGTGTAGAGCAAAGGGGCTATAAATTGAGATCTAAGAAGTGATAACAAAAAAAAACTGCAGGGTAGTTTATTGAGAACAGGCTAGTTTCAATCTGCTATATGTACTCACAGATGGAATCACTTTCAACCTCTACCTCTCCCGCCTTCTGCTCACACTTATCTGTCCTATCTTGAATTCAGTTCAAATGCTCTCATTCTCCAAAACGATCTATCCCTCTACACCTTTTATTGATTCTCCAGCATTAGATGCTGTGAGACAGGAACAATTGCAACTCAGCAATAACCTACAGAACTGAAAGACTAAAGTCCTCATTTCCAGAACTAAATCCAGATGTGCAGAAATGCAAGCTATATGCTAAAACTCACCATGTTGCTGACAAGTTATGACTGTATAAAATCTAACTGCACAGGATATTTTTTTTCCCTACTAAAGCAAGTGGCTAGGCCACACCCGCCCTGAACAATGTCAGTGCATCCAGTGGTGGTAACAAAAATATTGCCTTCTTTGCAGGCCTCCTCCATAGTTGTAACTTCATAACCTAAAAACAGAGGGAAATTAATATTTCCTTGTCCAACCACCAACACTTGTTCAAAAACAGACTACAATATTATGACTAGAAAAGTCAACAGAATCTGTGCTAGTGTTTGACTTACAGAGGATAGCAGGGCACTGAGCATATTCTTGTCTCACTAAACTCCAAGGTAACACAACTCCAAGGTAACACAAACATCTTTCAATATGAAGATCCATGTTTAATAATGGTATGTTTATATGTAGAATATATGGAATAACTCTTAGCTCGGATTCAAAGAGCTAAGACTGCAAGCAAAAATGCACCAACAATGCTTGTAAGTTCTCATTATGTATGAACAGAAATGGGATAAACTGGTAAAACAAGCACTGCTACAGGACGAATGCATGGAAGTGTGGTAACAGCTTCCAGAGCACGGCTGGGGCACAGCTTCACACTGGAAAAGCAGCAATCATGGCACTGCTCTCCACACACATCCAGCAATGTAAGACCTGGTGTTTTACAGTGGAGACTTCCAGTCAAGGCTTAACCCAAACTAGAAGTTAGAGCTGCCCAACTTGAAAGCAAAAATCAAGTTTACAGCATCGTGAAATAGGGTGCTTCTCCCACCATATAGTTTCTATATCCTTGACTCCAAATATATCTTCAAGGACTATACTAAACTCCTTCCTGTGCAGTTGTAAGGCAAGAGTTCCTCACAAGCTGAATTGAGCTAGAGAATTCATCTTCACTTCCAGAAGAGGAACAGGGTTAATATGTGCTGAAATTGTCTTGAGTGGATATAATTCAGTGCCCTGTACAGCAGCCCCCACATGAGATGCACCAAGTTCTACAACTCCTGTGGTTCTCACCTTCCATAGCTGCCTGCAGTGCGTTGATGGGATCGATTTCAGTGATGATGACTCTGGCTCCGAAGCTCCGCAGGGCCTGAGCACAGCCTTTGCCCACATCACCATAACCTGCTACCACTGCCACTTTTCCAGCAATCATGACATCTGTAGCACGTTTGATGCCATCAATGAGGGACTCTCGGCAACCGTAAAGGTTATCAAACTTGCTCTGAGGAAGAAAAAGTAACAATTTAGGACAGATGGAAGTCATTCATAAGCAAAAAACCTTTGGAGAGTCAAAATGGATTTATACAAAAGTAACTTTGAACAGAGAGACTGACAGTCTCAGCTAAATAATTATAACGAGGGACGAAGAGCCAGGTTTGATATTTTTATTTATCTGTTTTTAATCAATACAACTATACCAGATACAGCCTTCAAGGTGCCCCTGGTGAGAGGGGTATCACAAGTGGACATGTGTTCACTGGCCATGGCTTGGACTTGTTCAAAGCTTACTAGAGGTAACCTTAGAATCTCAACGAAAGCCTGAACAGCTGCTGCATACAGAGATCTGCTTAGCAAACTCAAGCCTATGTTCACCAATTCTACCGCTGTTCCTCAAACACCAGAAGAACATCTGGCCAGTTAGATAGCATAGGGTTACTCCTTCAGGACACACATGTACCCACAGAAGCGACAAGCAAGAAGCTGCCCACACTGATCAGACTGGGAGCAAGGCACCGCTGCAGCCCTCGAAGATCAAACCCATTTCTTCCCTAGGAAGAGTTACACTAATGCTGACACATCTCACCACTGCCCAGTCCTAGAAACAGTCAGTAATATTCATGATACCAGGAACTGCAACTAGATTTCATCTCGTAACACACCCTCCTGCATCTTCCTAATATCATATTCACCTAACTTACCAGCAGCCAAACCTCCAAATCAAAACTGTGTTGCTAAACCAGAGGTGAAACAGTATTCCACATCTTTCTAGATTTAGAAACACATTTTGCTGTGCTGATTTTTGACACTCTTCACCACATTCTCCTGGAGCCCTTTTTGACAAGAAAGATGGACTGGATGGACAGATCATATCTGTAAAGCTTTACAGAAGCCAAGAATAGAAAAACTCCAGCTATCAAAGTCATGCTCTGCAAGGCAGGGGGTAAAAAACTTGCCACCCACAGCAAAATTCAGGTCTCAAAGCCTGCAGCTGTGCTTTCTGCAGCCTTGAATCACCAATTGCTCCTGCCATTACACCCAAGAAGTACCACACTGTCCACTCTGAGCAGTCTTTAGAGTGTGAACTCAAATGCAATCAGCAGCCCAGAGCTTTAAAACAGGAGTTATGCAGCTATGGCTGGTGCTCTGAGACACGTAGAGTAAGTGATGTTATATGAAAGAAACATGTGGCAATGTTTAGATTTATCTTTCAGTCACAACTTTTGGCTGTAAGCTTTTATTATAAAAAATGCAACCATGGCTATGCATCATTGCTGATACATCAGCTGAGCAGTTTCAAAACTATAGCTTTATATTATTTTCCTAGCCTCAGGTAGGCAAACTTGGTTGTTTGCCTACCTGTAAGTTACTCTCCACAACCAGAAGTACCTGACTGTGCCTGTAAGTCTTGGCAAGGCAAAATTGCCATAAACACTTCAGAAAATCTGTGCTATCAATGCCTCAAATGTCAAAGCTAGTAACATTCAATGGCACTCTGGTCCACTGGAAGATTTTCCTTGCTCTAAGTATTCTTGTGAAGGAAACCACTGTTTTCAAAACAGATTCCTCATCCCCAAATCCTCCACTTGTATTCAAAGCTTTCCTGACATCAATGCAGTCCCATGGGGCAAGGGATGCACTGTACTCAGCATTACATTTGGATGGCAGTGGTGGAAGGGAATTGGACTGCCTGCCCTCTCTCCAAGTATTAGTGTAGGAAGGACTTTATCATTTAAAATCTGGCAGCAAGTCAAAAAATATCTATCTGGAGGACTGAAGTTTGTCATTTCAGTAAATGCCTTCCTGAAGAACTATAGCTATGCAATTCATATCAATGCTTGAAAATAAGCACTCACTTGGCACTAGAATAAAATTAGCTCAACTCACCCCCAATGAATCCCTTAAAAAATATATCTTGAGTAAGTTTTTAAAGAAATACTTGAAATTCCTCATCTACTGAACAGTATTAATAGCTATTGTGCAGGAGGCATAAACACCGGGAAAAAGGATGCTGGGGATCAGGTTTCTTCCAAAAGGAACTGGATTCCAGCCTACTGGTTAGGGAATAGAGATGCCATGCACTTGACTGAATAGAAGGGAGCCATTCTGCAGAGAAAACAGGCCAAACCATAGTGAGAAATGCCATGCCCAGCAACAGGATGATGTCTGGGACTGAGGCTAACCTCTGCATGTCCTCATAGCCACAGAAGACAGAAGTTTGGCCTGCAAGTGTCATTCTGCTCAGGCAAGCTACACATCAGCACCAGCTATGATAGTTTTTCTCCTAGAAAAGTATTCTGAACTGACTGGAGTATGGTACATTGAAAAATATCTACAGCAGTCTGTCATAACTGCTCTATCACTCTACTTAGCTATTCCTGTGCTGCTTTTTTTCCAAGTTTTCCATGCTAGGTTAGTGTGGAAGGTACTATGAGTGAAGACTGGCCCATTGCCACAAGGACTGAACGTAGCCTAGTGTAGCCATAATTTCCAAAGGTGTTTTCATATTGTTAAAATGAAAAAAAGAAAAAGAAATCCTCATACACAAACCCTTGACTTCAAAAAAGAGGGGTGCTATTTACAACTGCACATCACATTAGGCACGTCACAGGTTCCACTAGCTCATTTTAACAACACAGTGAAATGGTGAAAGAATTCAGACAAGAACAACCCATCAAGAGTGAGAAGCAGTAAAAATACCTCCATGAAAACGACAGCATCACAACACTAAACAAGTCAGGGAAACACAGCAATATAACACAACCAGCTGCATTACCTTCGTGACAGAGTCGTTAACATTGATGGCTGGCACTTTCAGGGTCCCATTGGCCTTCATCTTGTACAGGTTATGAACTCCAGTGGTTGTCTCCTCTGAAATACCTCTAATTCCTATGAGGAAAGAGGAAGGATTCATCCTAGTCAGAATTAACACTGCAAATAAACACATCTGGATGCTGAAGCATCTTCCAGAGCCCTCTGTTCTGGATGCACTCTGCACAAAGCAGGGAAGACATGAGTAACCTCATCTATGTTTTCAAGCACAAGTCTGAGGCTCTGAACAAGTTTCTCTCTCAAGAGAGCTAAGACAGCAGGATAAAGTTTACTGGTAGAATAGGAAGGAGGAAGAAGTCAGATGGAAAACCACAACAGATGCCAGAAGGTAAAGAGCTTCCCAAAGAAACAATGAGCTAGTCCCTTGCCCATTCCTAAAATTAACACTGACAGGCAAGAAAAGGGAAGGAAGACTCCAAATAAGCATTTTGGATTTGAAAGCATTACTGATTTCATCTTCTATTGCTCTTCTCAGACAATATCCAGTTTCCAGCTATGAGAAGAGCTACAGTTAGGCAAACAACACAAGAAGTTTGTGGCAGAGCCAGATATAAATCCTGGTTTCCCAGTCCTCAGCCACAAAATTTATCTCTTAGATCACTTATAGCATTCATTCTACAGCACTTAAACACATTCATTAACACTTCATTACCAATGCCAGAGCCATTTCTGAGTACAAGGGTAGTGGCAGTTGACACCAACCATACTACATATTTCAGTGAGGAAATAAAGAACCCAGGAGTGCCCAGGAGGAACTGCAGAGCAATCACCTTCATTAGGTCTGCCAAACTGAGTTCGTACATAGATAAAGCACTGAGCAACCCAAAAACATGGGGATTTCATCACAGTATGAACTGCTTCTAGACCAAGGAATGAGGAAAGATTAGGTGCTAGTCCATTCTATCACCAAGTGGATGGTAAAAAAGCCCTCTCCAAAGAGCCCTCCAGCTCTTCTCCAAAATGGGTAAGATGGTCACCTCAGTGATGTTTCTAAAGCTTACTTCAGTCTTGTGAGGCGACTTGAAGGGAACAGAGAGCCTAATTAAGGCACTTGGATCAATTAATTATTTCAAGTAAACAATTTGCCATCCCAAATTCTCCTGTGGATAATCAATTGCAGTGGTGATTAAACACCACCACCCTTCCCCAGTCTAGACACTAGCAAAGCAAAACTTAAATTTCATGGGAATTAATAGCAAAGTAGAAGCACAAACATCTCAAAATAAGATCTTGTTTCCAAACCTTGTTCCAAATTACATCCACAAGCTGAAGTCATAAATTCACGACTCTGTTTAAGTGCTTTAAGGACCCTGACATTTCAAGGGCCTTTTGACTTGGCATCAGTTGTCTACAAGTTTGTCCAGATATGCCGCAAATTCTGGTTATTTCTCCTCTCTAACCTCTCGGTAATACCTCATTGAATATAAATTGAATTTGTCTAGCTGCTACATAGGGCAATCCCTTGATTACTTTGAAAATCCATCTGCATAAAGAATTACTCCTAACTAAAAAGAAAGCACAATGAGTTTTAGAACAAACCTACCAAGTCCAGCTGAATTTCAGATGTAGAGGACATGATAATTATCTTCGTTCATTAAGGTCTTGAGGTGCACTATAAGATACCTATTTTACTGAAGTATGAGACAGTGTGGGGGAAAGGCGGAGGGAAACAGGAATTCTGCTCAACAAGGCAGAAATCACCAATAACAGTAGCAGGATCTTATAAAGAGATCCATCTGACCCTTGCAGCTAATTCAGATTCACATGAAGACAGATGAAAACAATGACATTGTTTTACATAAGTCTGAGATTTACGGTGAGAAGATGTTGCCTCTCCACACAAATGACCTCTGTTACTTGCCACTCCAGCCCCCTGCCACGCTCCAGCAAAATCCAAAAAGTTGCTTACGCAGGAAGGAGCAATCTCGCATTCCTAACGCAGCTGAAAGACAGAAAGACTAAAATGCATTTTAAAAGTCACTTTCAAAGCTCCAGAAGCCTTAAAATTTCTAGAAGAGCAGCTCACTGCATCCTGCCACCATGTGGGACCCATGTCTGCAGGATGGGCACTCCAAAGCAGGGGAGTGGGCACTCATGGCCCCCCTCACCCCAGCACCCGCAGCGGGTCTTGGCACCCAGGGGAACCCACGCTCCATGGGCAGACATCGCCGCCTAGCGCTGCTAGGAGAAAAGGCTCCAAGACCCTCGGAGAACCTCCTGCACACCAAGGGAACAGGAAGAAAACTCCTACCAGCCAAAGGCTCCCAGGCATAGCAATTGGTCTTAAATCATCTGACCTCCTTTAGTGTGGTTGGCAGCATGTGGATGCTCTTTTTGGTTCAAAACCATGGTTGGTGCTTTAAAACATTGCTATGGTATTGCAAACCATGCAGACTGACCACTTCAGTTTAAAATCTTCAAGTTTCACTCAAACCATCTTTCAAAATGGAACCTGTACAAGTGACAGATGCCTACACAGAGTCTAGAAGACTAGAAGAGTTAGATTTCTTCATGCCCAATATCAGAAGTGCTACTTCTCCCACCAAAACACAAGGTCCTAGAGAGCTCCTGGTGGACGAAGTGTCACAAATTTCAGCTCTGCAGCTGGCTGACCCCTTCCTAACTTGAGGAGAGAGATCTGACTTCTCTCATTAGTAGGTCAACCCAACGCATGTCAAATGGCTGTCCAGACTCACTGGTCCTGACAGAAACGGACAGAAAGCAAGGGATATTAGCTCTCCCTTTTCCTTCCTGACCAGTTAGGAGTACCCTGACAAATAGGCACCACCACATCTACAAGAAAATATGACTCTTGATTAGGCTGATTTGCCCCCAAAGGTCTGTTTCATTAAACGTTCAAGTCTTAAGACTCAACTTGGTTGCATGTAGACAGAACAAGTTCAGGCTTTGGTACTTTCAATGCTTGTTCAGAGAGGCAGGACAAACTAAAAGAACACTATCTGTGGCACAGCAAAATATGGCAGCTTTAACAAGTCTCCAAACAGCAGCAATTTACCAGAAGTGGTAGTTTTCCAGTAAAACTGACCAACTTGCTAGGTACAGTTGTTTACTTCCTGTGAAGGAAATCATCTCTATGAGGTTGTGGCAGAGACCTCCAACTCAAAGTTGCACCCTCTCTCTTCTGGTCTACCTGGAGACTGAGACATGCACTCCCATCTTTCTTCAAAAGCTCTCGAAGCTGAAATGTCTACGTTTAGATTTTTTTTAAACCTTTAAGATACCTTTACCTACAAGAACCTGATGTCATAACCTTTACTGACCAAGGTCCCCCTGCTGCTTGAGGCAACATTTCCATCTGGTCTCATCTGTTTTGAAACTCTGCAGTATGAAGCAGTGCAGGCATCACTAGTTTCAATGACCTTTTGCAGAATGAACTTAACTACAGAGAAGAGCCTACAGCAAAGAAAAGGTTGAACCAAAAAAAATGGCTAAATATTCAAACCTGCTTTTTCTCCTTCTACCCGATAAATGAACACATCCACATTAATGGATCATAAGTGATCCAATGTTCTCAAACCTCTCTTCAGAGTGGTCTTTTGCACAGATACGAGCTCAGATTGCTTCCTCCGCTGTTCAGTTCTCAAGTTTCTCTCTTCTATCTTTATTTATCCTGGTTGGAGGGACACTTTAGTTCACAGGAATAAGCGAGTAGTACAAAGCCATTCTGCCCTCTAATGGCAGGCTGGATTAAGAGAGAGGAAAAACTTGCAGTGTTAAGAGACATGGAAGTTCTCAACAATTCCTAATCAAATAAAACTTGAATGAAGCATAGAGGCTAATTTTCAACTGTTGGTTTAGTCCTAATGTGCAGCTAACCTCTGTTTATTGTAGAAGTGGTGAAACACGGAGGACAGACAGGCAGTCCACTCTGAAATTAGGCCAGAAAACTTGTCCAATCCTTAACTAGCAAAAGGCACTTTCAGCTGCTCCCTTCTGTGCACAGCTCAATTGCATATGCTAATGCCTGAGTGCAGAGCCTCTGCTAGATCCTCAGCTTTCCCCACATCTCCAAGCACAGTACGTACTGAAACATCTCCCACGTTCTAGGTTCAGTCTTTCCAAATATTGTGCCTGCTGTGCTGACATTACTGACAGTCCTACCTCTCCCCTAAAGAGGTCATTGAACTGTGACATTAACCACTTTCAGTGACCTTCAAATACCACAAGCCCTTGGTATTTATTAGTCTCTATTACCTTCAGGGTACCAAAAACACTGGGTACTACATTGGTATTTGCTACATTTAAGCAAATTAAGCATCTTTGCAGCACAGGGCTAAGTGTCAAAGTCAGTTAAGGAGATCAAGACTACACAGTGGACCCACTTCAGGCAGTTTTCTTGTCTCTGAGGATTGCTGGACTCAACAGCAAAGCAGATCAAGCTGTCAGCTTCCACAGAGATCAGTCTTGGTGAGTTTGCTGATTTGCTGTCAGAAAGATTTTCAGCTATCAGTCCAGATGTCACACACATTTGGGCAACAGAAATGTTGACAGGTAAAGACATCTGGCCTAGGCTCCTCAAAAATGCAGCTGAATGCAGGTTATTCCTGTGAACTTAGGAAGCAGCTCTGGGCAAAAGGCATGTTGCTCTTGATGGCAGACCAAAGGGGGATGCAAAGACAGGAGACAATTCAAGGACCACTTCACTCCAGCACACAGAAACACAAGTAGAACAGGTGAAGGGACTAAAGGGCACACACAAAAAAAAAAAAAAAAAGGGGACAAATAGCAGGAATTCTAGACATGTGGAAGACAGCCCAGTGCAAACAGCACAAGGAGCAGGGATACAAATGCAGATGTTACATGTGTGCAGCAGAGGAACAACCCTGCAAAACAGAGGATATGAACATGAACAATGCATTTTTGAATCTGTGATAATGTCAGGGAGACCAAATGTTGTGACTGATCTTGATGTTCCTTGGTTTCAAATGGCAGGAAAACAAGAGATCATCTAACAACAGACAAAGCCAATCTAGGAAGCAAAGTTGAACTTCGATGGAAAAGTATGGATCTAAGCATGGCTGAGCAGATAAAGGAAATCTGAGATTAGAGTTTAAATAATACCAAGGTTTTCACTGCAGAAGAACTGACACTAGGCTCAGGGTGACAAAACCTGAAACCAGTCACACAAGCAGTTTCCTCCTCCTTGCTCACCTGCCTCAATGAGCTCAGTCACAGGGAGTCATCCCAGCCTCCTACACTCACCCAGCGGGAGAGCTGCTGCCTTCTAATCCCTTCCTCCCACCTTAACTTTCTCTTAAAACAGCACAAGAGCTGATCCAGTTCAGCAACCTCACTTTCAAGGACCATGAACAAGCAGCAGCACACCTCACAGTATCAGTTTAGTTTCTCTGTATACACACTCCCATTCATTTTATTTTTCCATATGCTCGATCAAACATGCCCTTTGGCATCACTAAGCCTCTGTGGCTTGCAGCAGGAGCACAGATGAACACTGACAGAGCTAAGGAGAGGCTGCCACATTACTGGTACAGATCAGTGTGCTACTGCAGCTCAGGCCTAATGCACTGCAGATAAATCATTTTACATAAACACATTAGCCATACCACTCAAGCTAGTCTCAGCTTTACTAACCTATATTTACAGTAATAAATCAATAAAGCAAGAGGCCTAAACCTGACTCCTTCAGTATCTTTGCCAACAAATCAGATAATAGTGAATGCCTTGTAGATTATAGACTGCAGAAAACTGTCCCCTGCAGAAGATCTACACATTGTCAAGATTTCATCCACAGATGCACAAAGAGGATGAGGAGGATGAAGCATTAATCTTTAAAAAAATATCATTTGCAAGCAGAAACCATCAAGCAATTTTTAAACACAGCCCATTTCCAGAAATCCAATCAAAAGCACCACTTGCCATTTTCAGGTAATGGGCACTGAGAAGGATGGCCAGAAGGACAGGTCACAGTAAGTACAAAGAATAGACAGAAACAACAAGTCTTGTAAGAAAGATTCTGGTCTTGGACTGTAATTTTCATGGATACATCACAGCCTGTTTAGACATTCTTGTCTCCCCTCTCCCCAGCCCTTTAAACAAGCAAGGGATTCCCAGGGAAACCTAAATGCCTCCCAAGAGCAGCTCTGCCTGATGTTACAGGCTGCAAATTACCTTTCAGAAGCTGTGGGTATTTGGTATGGACCAGGTTGGTAAGATCTCCACCATCATCCAAAATCATGTTGAGGGGCTGGCCATCCTTGAAGTACAAGGTCTGCTCAATGCACCACAGGTACTCCTCGTCCGTCTCCCCTTTCCAGGCGAACACTAGGCAGAAACACACACATACAGTTGGCCAGTTTCTTACTCAGCATGTAGCAAAGCAGATGCTTATCTGCACCTGGAAGCCAGAAAGACTTCTGCATTGAGAAAGAGATATTAGCACAAGCAAAAGTGAATTCACTTCACCTTACATTGCAGGTCACAAACTTGATCACCACTTTCATTTGCTCCCCTCTTTCTTCTACACCAGGAGGAAGAAACTGGAACAAATCAAACTAGACTAATAGCAGCAATGCCCCATATTCTCCATTATTTCACCCTGTGCTGCCAGGAATTGGAAAGAAGCACTGGGTATACTGATACAGGCAGATGAAAACACAGCTGCAGCAATGGCTAGCAAAACAGAAGAGGCACCATACACTTCAGCATGAATTAAGCACCAGGTACAAACTCTTTAGCAAATTTGAAATTAAATTTTACTTTCCAGCCCAGCGCCAAAATCCAGACTGCTGTGCCTTCTCTGCTCTTGTTAGCAGATATGACTAGATCAGCAGCTCTACCACCAGTAACAGGTTGCCACCACTAACATGTTTTATCTAGCACTAGCAGTATTTTTGCCTTTCCAGGCATTTGTATTCCTGATTTCACCTGGTACTTGAATTATGGTAGTACTCTGCTATTTAAACATTATTAATCTTACAGTTTACACATCCCAAGTTGGGACACCTTCTAAACTGCCCTATTTTTATTGTTTATACAGAAAATTTCAAGTTTAAGTTACAAAATCAAACCTGCAACTGTATTTTCCTTAGAAATATGCATCAATATCTCACATTGTATAAAGAATGAGCATTCCTTAAAGATCTGGTAAATTCAGTGTGCAAAGGTAAATTCAGTGTGCAAAATGTAATATTAACAAAAAGAGTATGGCCCAAAAAGCAAGGCAGAGGACAAATTTAGACAAACACTCCACCCCTAAGCTGCTCTTCAGCTGAATTTTGGGAATTATTGAGAACAGTGAGGAAGGTGATATCAGATCTGGACAGCCCTTCATGGTCCCTTGACAACATATGCCAGAGACGGGCAGGAGGTGATGCCCACAGCTAATAACACAGGAGCCAAAGGAGGGACAACTTTCTTCATTACTTTAAAATGGATGACAGCGAGGAAAAGATTTGCAGTAAAAGGTAATTATAACAGAAATGGAAGACACTGCCCAAAACAGAACCAGGCTGTCAAAACAAAAGTATTAGATTCTGTTAGCACCCAGGCTCAGGCCATGCCGTTTCTATCATGCAGACTCATGAGCACTGTATGTCCCAAAGCCAAAAACTGCAGCAGACAGCTTAATATGTTCATGTTGATGAGCAAGAAATTGCTATTTACTGAAAGTAGACAAAAATAAAACCGCAGCATTTTGATAAATCATTTCAGGGATGTTAGACTGCAAAAAAAAACTGGCCTAGCCCTGGCTTAAAGCATCTTGAACATTGACTCTGTCACCGTTACAGAGCACATTGCAGCCAGCATCTCCTCCCCAACACCAGTTAGCACCAGGCTTACTGGAAAGCAGACACCTGTGTCTGAACACACCTACACACCAATTTCTTTATTGCCTAGCCAGTTAATCACCTTACTGACCACACTTAATGCTGCCAACACACAACCTGGAGGCTTTGTAGTCTAACACAAGATCAGTCATTCTCAAGAGTGCTAGACTGATGCAATACAGCTTGAATTAAACGCCCTCTTGTGTAACAACCACTGCTTTTGATGCGCTATTTGTATCCTAAAGCTTACTCTTAAGAGCTTGGTTTGTGCATAGTTTGATTTAGCTAGAACAGGCAGTACACACTAATTCATCAAAGCCAAATGAGCATACAGACTTACCAGGGATACCAGCTTTTGCAATAGCAGCTGCCGCATGGTCCTGAGTTGAGAAAATGTTACAGCTTGACCATTGGACCTGGAAAACAATCAAGGTTTTATTTGCTGAGCAAAGTTCTGAGATATCAGGCATTCTTATCCAGAAACAGGAGTTAAAAAGGGAGCACCAGCAGAAAGACATATTAGTGCAGATTTCTGACCTGCTCAGTAGTTCTGCAGAAGCTGCAGGATCTAAGTAGGACAGAGAGAATAATGCTACATAGTGCACAATATAGCTCCAGCTGTGCCATACGCTCAGCCATCTCCTTTCTCTTGACAGCCACAGCACACACTGAGTTATAGATCTGCAGCAAGTGCACAGTATCATGAGTTTAGAAAGCCTGAGTCACTAAAGTTCAGATTTTCAGGAGAGCCACATAGCGAGTGTCCAGTGAGGAAGGTGGATACAGAGCAACGCATCTGCTGGAACTCAGAGGGGTCAAAAATGCAGCTGAAACACTACATTCGATCAACACACATTCTTTAAGATTATGCTCACCCAACTCTCACTCTGTGCTCCAGGCATGGAAGTTTTTCCAGCTGAGCTAAGCAATTTCCACCTAGATTTCATAACTAGGCTCAGGCACCTAGAAAAGCAACAGCATGTCGCTGAGTTGCATTGAAAAGTATCTCTGAACCTGTTGCAATTCACCAGCTCCCTGGAAAGCTCTGCATTTCACAGACACATGCTTGAGTTCTTACTCTCTCCCCTACAGGGCTGACTGGCAGGTACTTGTATGCTTATTTATAACAAATCTTAAAGAGAGACAGCAATAACGTATAATAGTCCTTCATCCTGTTTTCACACATTCATACAATTTTATGAAATAATATTCTTCAGAGCAAGGCTACAGTAGCAAGCCCTGTGGTTCCCCATTTGGGCCTACACACTCAATGCTTGTTACTAAAAACATCTGCAAGGAGTGTAGGAAAACAGAAATCATGAAGTCAGGCCCTCTCCCTCCTCATCTGCATTTTTGTGAGCTCTCACCATGTGAGTGCAGATGCCATAAGGAGGTATCAGGGAATTCAAAGTATACTGAAAGTCTGTATGTTACTTGCACTTGAAGCAAGATGCAAGATAAGTCACTTATCAGTTTTGCATCCTCAGATCTTTAATGGCAGTTTGGAAAAATGACACAGACCTGAGAAAATCTGGCATATCTGGTAGGCTATACAGGCCAATATTTGTACTCTTACAGCTCCTTGGTTATGAAAAGGATACATTTTTATTACCATTTTAGAACTCATGTGGCCCTGAGGCAGAGTATACCATCTTTGCCGGTCTAGCCTAAAAAAGGTGATGCCAAATTCACTACACTGCACAATAAACTCTGGACTATGCTGCTCTTCAGCTCTGAACAGGTTGGAGAACATCTCCATGCAGAACACCAGGTAGCCTACAAGTGTCTAGATCAACCCCACACTTCAAGGCAGAAAAACCACAGGAAGAAAGGATTTCAGATGAAATACTATGTGCTTAGCATAATCCACCATGAAGCAGC